ACAATGGGTGTAGTTGCCTCTGATGGCTTGGAGTGGGTTTAGAAGGACCCCTGGGTGGGAGGAGAGGCCACTCAGACCAGTGGCGTGTAAAGGGGGGAGGGGGGCGAAGGGGAAGTGGCCCTGCATAACCATATGGGAGAGGGACCTCTGTACGCCACTGACTCAGACACAGTAGAAGGCACAGTGGCTAGAAGAGAGATGCCAAACAGTACCAAATACACTAGTCTACCCTCAGCTTGTCCCATTCACATTGAAAAAGGCAGAGAAAGAGCCCAATTTTTATTTATCTTTTTTGTTATTTTGTAACTAAAGTTCTATTGAGGGGATTAGACTTTTAGGTGAAGCTTACTTTTATGCCCAATAAAGGCAGTTCGAATCTTAAAGAGTTTGAGTGACGTTAGTAAGGTCTGTACATCTTCCGGTCACCTACTGAATGGGCTGTATGAATACAACCCTAACTTCAGGCTTATGACAGACATGGGAAGTTAATATATATATATATATATATATATATATATATATATATATATATATATATATATATATATATATATATATATATATATATATATATATATATATATATATATATATATATTATATATATATATATATATATATATATATATATATATATATATATATATATATATATATATATATATATATATATATATATATATATATATATATATATATATATATATATTATATATATATATATATTATATATATATATATATATATATATATATATATATATATATATAATATATATATATATGTGTGTGACGCTTTAAAAAATTAAAACCAAAAATTTACCTTTAAGTTGACATTCAAATATTGAACATTCTATCGTGTTGCAATCAAGTATTTTTATGATAAAAATAATCACATATAATCTATAAACTTTTCCATAAAAAAAAAAAAAAAAAAAAAACATATCCCATATTTTTCAAAATACAAAATGAAAACATTCCTGTTGCCAAACTTCACATATGAGCATGCAGATACCATGCCAATACTACTCATGTTACCCAGATTCGGAGGTATTATAAAGATTATCTAATAGTATAAATTATTGCCCAGAAAGTACTAATGCCAGTGGACTTTAAACTCTTTGAAACAATATCATATTTTTACCTTTGTAATTATCAAAGGTAACAGCAGTGGATGAGTATTGCAAAATTTATTACCACTGAAAAATAATTTCTGAAATAAATGCTATATCTACTTCATGTCATTTCAGTCTTGTCATTATGAAAACTAAACAATTATATCAAACTGGTACCAGTAACTTGATATCAATGCTTTGGAACAAACATCATCTGGGTAATAAATATTTAAATTTGATTTTGGCAAATAACTATATTGGTCTTTCACATATTCTCCAGCTTTTCCCAATCTTCCCTTGGACACATGATTCATTTGAAGTTTTCTACTGCACCAACAGCTAGGCTCATTAGCAGTCTTGGACACTTCTTTCCTTAGTGGGGCATTTTGTCTTTCATGTATACTGACCTTGTGTGCCGTTTTTTTCTGGGGAAGATACTTCCTTACTGTTACATGTTGCATAATGATTATTCAGGAACATTCTGTAAAAACATTTAAAATCCTCATTCTCATCTCCATAAACCACACATACATCAATTCAGTATTGTAAATAATTTCAAAGCATATGTATTCCTAATACTTCCATGGGATCTATACTGTATTCAGTATACTTAAAGTACTGCCTTAATTTTCATGATTCCATAATGCAGCGCCATATCCTCATCATATTTTATCCAGAAATTAAAGTTATTCCTCCGTTTGATGTTACACCATTCCATAGTATACAGGTGCACTTTAAGGTGTGCATCATATTAGGGATTAGTTATCTCTTCTATCCTTCAAAACTGTAATCTAGGTTAGGATTCAGGTGTACTGATAATCTAAATTCACATTACCTTAACTACTGCAGTTCTGAAATTTCCTTTCCCTAATGTATAGGAATGTTCAGAACTTCAAGTGCATCCAAGACAAGTGAACCCAACAAACTCTTCCTGTGGAAAACACATACCGCAGAATATCAATTTTGTATAATACGTGCAAAGGGAATGATATAAACATTTAAAAAAAAACTTTAAAAGTATATTTCTTTTCAGATATAAACTTTATAACAAATAATATGCAAAAATATATTATGATAAAATAAACATTCACAAACAACTTTTCACATTCCACTAGACCATCTTATCTACTTCATCTTATGGTGACTGTCTTGCAGCCATAGGGAGGTTCTAAATTAAGAGGATGAAACTGAATTTAAGTCAGTTTTGCAAATCTATGCCTATTGAGAATTTTCTACATGAAAATTGAATTCTGCAAAGGATAGAGAGAGAGAGAGAGAGAGAGAGAGAGAGAGAGAGAGAGAGAGAGAGAGAGAGAGAGAGAGAGAGAGAGAGAGAGAGAGAGAGAGAGAGAGAGAGAGAGAGAGAGAGACCGAGAGTGAAAGTGAGTGAGTGAGAGAGAGAGAGAGAGAGAGAGAAGAGAGAGAGAGAGAGAGAGAGAGAGAGAGAGAGAGAGAGAGAGAGAGAGAGAGAGAGAGAGAGAGAGAGGAGAGAGAGTGTGAGGGTGAGGGTGAGGGAGGGAGAGAGAGAGAGACGACTTCTTTGGTATAAAAGTGAAATCTTTATTCCTTTCATCAAGGTAGCATCTTCCTCCTATCCATAAGGGTGATCCATTTTATGCAAATACTTTTTTTAATAGCAAAAATATGTACAATTAGTTTTTAAAAATCATGAATGGAACATTGTACCTGAGGCACTTATACAATGACTGCTCTTTCCTGACCACATGTATCAGGGAATCCTTTGGTGCAGCTGGTGTTTAAAGAGGTACATAAGAGCAATTACCCTCTTCAAGATCATTAATAGTTGGTGGTACTGATGGCTCTTCTGCATTAATTATGATAATCTTTTGTTTGTGATGATGATCACTTAGGTAAGGATAACTTTTAACTTCAATATTGGTTTCTGTATCAAAAGTTTTGAAAGTTTTGTGCAGCTCAGTTGGTAAGTGTCTTTCATTTACATAAGGCTTTTGACAATTTAAACAAAAACATTTCTTACCCTTTTTGCATCTATGTCTAGCAAATCTATTCCGATTTTTAAAATGTTTTTCACATGGCTCACTTACAGGTGAACTATTTAGACTTTGACTCGAGTGTTTTCTCATAGAATCACACACAGTTTTACCTTTTCCATGTATATCCCATCCATATTGCTTTTCGCTGGAATGTTTCTGCAGACCATGTTGCTCCTGTTCTTTGTTATTCAACCTAATTCTACAAGTCTCACAAAATGATTGTACATTTGAACTTAAATGGGCTTGTGAAGTTGGGATTCTGCTACATGCTAGGCAGGGTGATGCATCAGAACTAGCTTTAGAATCAGATAATTTTTTCAAATCATCATTTCTTTTTCTTATATTGGCTTCTTTTGATTCTGCATGTTTCTGACAAAGAATATTGGTATTATTTGATAATTTCAAGCTTCCACTTTCATATATTTTTTCCTGTTTTTCACTGCACTCTTCAATTTTTTTTTCAGTATCATTTTTGAGCTTTATACCCTGAGTCTGGCTGTATATTCGGGTTACTTCATCTCTTGTTCTTGAATCTATGACTGGTTTCATCACGTTACCTAAATCAAGTTTCTGAGTTAAGGCACATTGGTGTTTGCAAGGTTCACCTGAGACACCAACTGAGCAGGAACACAAACCTAAACTCATGTCTACATCAAAGCATTCACCTGTTCCTGCATTTTTAATTTTGAAGAAGGGAACAATCTCTAGCGAATCCATCATTTTCTTTTCCTGCATATAGCGTTGTAAAAATGGGACTTCAAACTGACCTTCCGCAATGCAATGTAATCTTTCTGTATAATATGTATTTAAATCAGTAGTTAAAAATTCAAGAAGCTGAACCATTGTGCATGCTTTTGTTTGTTTCAGCATTTTGTCCTTCAGAGATTCCATTATTTCACCAATACTTGTGAAGCTATGAATTTGGTTCATCAAATCACCTTGAAGGCATAGAGCCCATTCAGTCCTTCTTTTATGCAAGTTCTCCATGTGGGAAAAAAACTTTAAAGGATAATGAGTCTCTACTGATGTCATTAACTTCTTATATTTTTCCTCCAGGTCAGACACAGACTGGGCCAAAACCATATCCTTAACCATGCCAAAGAGTTTCTGCCTGCTACCAGGTTCTATGCCAGATTGACTGTGGCACAGACATTCCCAGGCTGACTGAATCACATGATATGGGCAAATGAATACTGTAGTATCAGGAAATTTTGCTGCCAAGGCATGACGTTGAACATGACAATCTTCTGTCAAAATGAATTCTGGTCCAAGATGACCACGTCCAGCAAAAGCCTGATCAGGTAACAAGTCCATATATAAATCTAGAGCCTGATGCAAAACATCAGTGCTGTTTGATGATGTTATGAGAATTCCTACCGGAAGGCCACCAAAACCACTGTGAGTCATAAGGAGATAAATCCTGCATTTCAGAAATTCTATACTGTTGCTATCAATAAGTATTAGCTTCCCAGTCTGTGCTAAACCTTTGTGGAAATGCTTCATCAAAGGTGTAACTAAAGCAACAATAACATCTGTATTTTCACCATTCAGCAGCTTCATTGCTGCACATGTTTCATTGCACTGTTTATTATACTCATCTACAAATTTTTCCAATGAATTTGTTTTACTCTCTAAAATACTGAGATTTTTATCTCTCTTGCATGTTAAGTAGTACTGTCTATAACACCAATTCACATCAGGGCATAATGCTCTGTCCTCTAGAGCAGCACAGTAATCCTCCTCATACTCCATATGTATATCCCTTTTGTGAATCTTGAGAGCAGTGGCAGGCTTATAACCGGCATGGTACATCATCCTAAATTTTTTGACGAGGGCTGAATCTGGATCCCGAAACTGAAGAGCATATCTCT